CTGAGGCTTCAGCCAACGCTTCAGCAGATTGAGGCTGTTGGGGGAATTGACGAGCTGAACTTTATTTCTGGCGGATTTGACCGCTTCGAGGATGGTCGTGAGACTTGCATCACAGCGTGCGGCGGGAAGTATGTGCTTACGTGGAGCTTTGAGGCAGCGAAACGGGCCGTGGAGGACGGTCACGCGTGCATTGGCGAGACTGCATTAGTTAAGCGCGAGGTCCTTGCTGTTTCTGCGACGGTGCCGGAACGAGTGATGTACATGACGGATCAGGACATCCGCATGGCGCCACTGAAGCGACAGGAGCGGCAGGAAAAGGGCACAAAGCAGTACAACTACTTGTGAGGCAGCCTCCCTTTTTTTGTGCGTTTGCCGATGCCTTGGGGCACGCCTCCATATTTTCTTTGTTACGGGTGGAGCTTGTGGCACGCGTCTGGGGAAAGGACCAGCAACATTCCCACCTCACGGGCATCTTGCGGTGGTCAGTCTTTGTTTCGTGTGTGCTTTTCCTATGGTATGTGTGTGTTTCCTGTTGGTTTGAGGGGTCAGTCGGGGGACTACGTTTTTTCCCTGACTCACTCGTGCTCTCTCCTTGTTTTTTTTTTTTTTTTTTTTGGGAGGGGGCAGAAGCCCGCGAACAGTTTCTGCGTGGATGTGGAGTACGGAATTAGACTGTTTTTTTAGTGGGTGCAGGCATGATGGTTATTCCGTTTGCCGCAGCTTGGTGTTTATATGTTTTTCTTTTTTTTTTTTGTGCTTGCAAATGTCTTTTTTTTTTCTGTTTTGTATTCGATGTGGGTTTGGCCAATAGGATGTGTTTGGCGCCCTGAAATCTTATTTTCTGCAACGCTGAGAGGAATGTATGACTACTGGGCAAGGCTTAGAGGTGCAGAGAGGAGGGATAATCGCCGTGTGTATATTGTATATATAAATATATTATTATTGTATATATAATATATATACGTATTTATATGATTGAAAGTTTTTTTTTTTTTGCCTCACCTTAAAAAATGTATATATATATTGTTTTGTTTTGTGTGTTTCTTCTTCTTTTTTTTTTTTTTTTGCTGCGGGTGTTGTTTTATTTTTTGAGTGCTTTTTGCTTATTTATATATATATTTCTGTGTGTTTTCTCTATTGCAGCAAGTTGCCACGTGGAAGGAAGAGATTTGTCTATCAACGATGTCATCGGTTGCTGGCGATGCTGACGGACTTCTGTTTGTGGGTCGCGCCCTCAGCACCGCCGAGCGCGCAGCGTTGCAATCATCGATCCCGCTTCTCTCGGCGAGGTACGAGACACCCGTGCGTTTTTGGGGCAAGATTCTTGGCTACAAGGGCGATTACCTCGTGACGCAGGCTGTGCCGGAGGGCGTTTTTGGCAAACGCTTCAGTTTTTTCAGTGTGGACGGGGGAACCTCGTGGCGTCTGTTGGACCCCCTCACCGAGGACGAGGTGGCGTTTTGCGATCAACTACGCGGTGTGTACATGGGCGATCCGACGTTTATGTATAAAGTGCGGCGGGATATTCCACCGGAGCCTGAGCCGACCGCGGCGATGCCTGACGCGGATGAGTTATTGACGGCGGCGCGTGAAAAATATGGCGCAGAAAAGACCGGACAGGAGGGCGAAGAGGAGGAGGAGGAGGAGCAGGAACAGGAGGAGGCTGAGGAGGAAGAGGAGGAGGAAGAGGATGAAGACGAGGAGGAGCATGAAGAGCAGCCAAAGAAGAAGCGACCCAAGTTTATGATTATTGCCGTGCCAGAAACCGTTCGGCTGGCGCATTTTATTCAGTTGCACGATGCGGCGTGTACACTCGTTGTGCGGGGGCAATATGTTTTTACGCCAAGTGGTAGCGGAGTTTCAAAGAACACAATGTTTGCTGGTCAACCAGTGCGTCATGCGATGAAGCCATCGTGTTATTTGCGTGCTTTTCATCCTGGCAACGAAGAGCGCAATCGCATTCTGTACGGTCCAACCTACAGCAGCGTGACAGACCGTCTTTCTCCCATCACCGATGACGAGCCGCAGGGGGTGTGGGTGGTGAAGTATGATCCCACTGCAAGCATTGTGACGGTGCAGAACTTGTTTTACAATGGATCACTCTTTTGGTATCGTCCTGGCACAAATGACTGCGGTCAGGTGTACTTTGGCAACGGAGAACGCGACTTGGAGACCTGTTTTCTTCTGTAGAATGAGAGGAGGAGGAGAAATGTGAGGAAAGACACGAGAAGGAAGTGGAGGGTGAAATTTATTTTTATTTGGAGAGGGGAGAGGGGGGCAGTTTTGTTGTCCGCTGAAAAAGACGTCAGTAGGCCGCTGCCTCTCCCTTCTTTTTGTTGTTTTCATTTTCCCGTCGCCTCCCACTTCTTTGCCAGCCTTGCGCAATATAACGCCCGGCAATATAGATGTATCATGCAGCAACAGAGAAGAAACGTTCAGGCAAAGTGCGTTTTTTTTTTGTTGTTGTTGTTGGGTTTCATCTTTTCTTTCTTGCCTTTTTTTTTTTTTGCGTTCTTCCCTGGGGCCTGGGCATTTGTCTGGGATTCTCCGGGGGAAAATGGGAAATATGGGGAAGGGACAGTGAAAAGGCGGAAAACAACAACAACAACAACAACAAAAACGGAAAGCAAACGAAAAGAAATGGTTGTTTCATTGTCTTGTGTTTGGTGTGAGTCTTTGCTTTGCTGAAATAAATGTAGTGAGACGTGTGACATTTCTTTTTTGACCTGTGCGTCTTTCTCGCTCTCTTTCTCTTCGTGTGTATGTAATGTAAGGATGATTATTAATATATACATATATATATATATATATTTCTTTCCCTCCCTCTGTGTGTGTGTGCGTGTGTGTCTCTGTTATTATTACTATTTTTTCTTTTTTCTCCTCTTCTCTTTTCTTGGACATCTTTGCATCCACATTTATTTGCCACAAAAGGAGGGAAGGAGAAGGAGAAGAAGAAGAAGAAGAAAAAAGGGAGAAGCAGGGGTGCAGGGCTGTCTCAGAACAGGGATCAAGGTAAGTGGGGAGAGGAGGCGAAATAAGAAGCATAAAAATAGCCTCACTCCCAATCCCCCCCTCCCCCCCCAAAAAAAAAACAAACCCCAAATAATAATAATAATAATAACAATAATAATAATAAAGACAAAGCTAAAAAACAAAAAAAAAAACAAAACAAAAAACACAAAGGCAAATAATAATCGTAATTAAAAGGGAAAAAGATTTTTTTTTTTTTCTAAATTTTTGTGACTTTTTTCTTTTTGTGTCTGTGTGTGAAGAATAATTTAAAGAATTAAAAGTGTGTGTGTGTGTGAGTGCGAGTGTGTTAGTATTTGCTTCTTTGTTTCTTTGAATTGGGCGTCTTTTTTTTTTTTTTTGTGGTTTTGGCTTGCTTTGTGGTTTGATTGTCTTTTGGTTTCTTTTTTCTTTTTGATTTGCGTCAGCGCCACCCATTCGGCGTGTCGGTGGTCTTTATTATTATTTTTGTGACTCTGCCCGCTTTTGCTTCCCTGCGGCGTGTGTCTGCCTGTCTGTCCGTCTGTTTGTGTTTCCGGGTGAAAGGAGGTGTTTTTGTGGGTGACTCCGTGCGGGTGGCGTTTGGGGCGACAGGAGAGAAAAAGACGCCGGTGGAGAGCGGGGGGGAGGGGCGACGCCGCACGCGCACGCCAAACGTCACGGAGCTCTGCAGTGGGCCTTTTGAGGCGAAGAGGAATAAAGGGGAGACGTGTCGTTGAACACCGCCCCTACCCACACACAATAAAAGGAGAGAGAGAGAGAGAGAGAGAGAGAGAGGAAACGGCAGCGGCAAGAGGGAATAAAAGGGTCGGGGGGGAGGGGTTGGGAGGGCGAAGACGACATCCAACCAACACCCGCGCAGAAGTACACTACACCCGAGGAAAAAAGAAACAAAAAAAAAAGGAAAGAACAAAAAATAAAAATACAAAATAAAGGAGAGGGGAAATAACTGTGGCGGCAATAATAATTTAGCGCTAACAATAAGTAAGTAGTAATCAAACAAAAATACGGAACGAGAAGAGAGGGTTGGAGAAAAGGAAGAGTGAATAGAGAGAGAGGGGAGAGGGGAGGGAAAGTTGGTGAACACCGCACCGTGTTTCTCTTTATTTGGGAAGTTGAGTGCGGAAATGCTGCAAGGGACGAGAAAGGGAGAGGGAGAGGCGATGATGGAGCCCAGGGATGGAAATGAAACCATAAGGACAACCACAAATTCACGAACAACGCGAGTTTTTTACGAAGATCCACTGCTACCATATTCTCTCCAGTGTATTCATCCACGGCTGCGGGATGCGGTTGAGGTGAAGGGCCGCGCGGAACTTCTTCGAGGCGCCCAGCTGCTTATAGAACACGGCACCCCAGAAGACGTGGCACGTCATATCTCATTGAAGGTGCGGGAGAGGGAATCCATAGTGGACCAATCCTCTTCCCCTGAAGAGGAAGACAACTTGTGTGCAGGAATTCCTCTTCAACCTGCCTTTACGTCCCCCAACTCAGAGTATAACTCCTTTTACGAGGCGGATGAGGAACTTCAGCATCGGTGCCATTACTTTTTATCAACGTTTACGGATGAGCATGAATCATACAATGTTCCATACGATGTACAGCGCCGCGTTGTGCCGTTATTATATGCATGGATTGTGGATTGGGATTTTCTTAGACGCAATACGGATTGCTGGGTGTGCGTCACGCAATGCTTTTGCCGCGTGGTACAATCTCGCCGGCGACGGTTTTCGGTACGTCCCGATTTTTCACTTCCGTGGCGGCCACTTGTTGAGATTTTGATTTCTCTATTCTTTCAATCCGATGGAGTGATGGATCTGAATGTATTTCAGGGCATGCGAAAAGCGGCAGGGAGGCATTTGGAAAGACTCTGTGAGCTGGCCGCGTTGCACTTTGGCGCCGATGCCTGGCCGGGACTATGGGAGACATTTGCACCGTACTTCTCCGCGGATCGGGAGGAGGCACCCATCATGTTATGCCTTCTCTCTCACCTTTTTCCCATTCACCATCTTTCGGATGATGCAACTGGGGAGCCCTTGCCCATCACGGAGCGTATTGTAAAGTTTCTTCTCGAGGATTCGCTTTACTGGCAGCAGCTGTCACAAAACTGGCTGGTGTATTCTCTTAAGATTCTCTTTAAAATGTCTCTCCATCATGTTGGTGTGGTGGACTTTGACAGGTACGCGGAACCTCTGTTTTCGATGGTGTTGTATGAATTACATCTCCCCATCGCTGAGGACATGGCGGTGCCGAAAGGACCGGTTGGATTTGGTGTACTTAGCAAAGTTTCTCTCTTTAGGATTGGCGAGAACGAAATGTCTGCAGCAGAGGGTTTTATTGGGAGCATGCTCCCGCGTCGCACCGACTCTCCACTGTGGAATCACCTGCAACGCTTCGTAAACGCGACCAGTGTTTTTCTTCGTCCAAACGCCACCGATAAAGTTGTCCTGCGCCGTGTGTTTGCCTTCTACAGCAGTCTTGTGGCGGTCATTCATCGGAGGATAAAAAAACAGAGGAGCTATCAATTCATGCGGGCAACAAAAAAAACCAAATTTGAAGGAAGAATTATTCGAGAGGCGTACCTGTGGGACCGCGACACCATCGACTGGTTTGTGGAGCTTGTGGCACCTGTTTTGCGTTTGCTGTTGCACCATCGTCTTGAGGATGCCCCACGCATCGTCGGCCTTCTCGCTTCCCTTTCTCCCCAAATTGTACAGCGGTTGTTTTTGCCATATGTTGATGCTGGGCTGCGAGGTCATTTAGGGTCACCGACTCAACGTGGCCTAGCCTTACGACTTTTGGCCAAATGTCTTTTTCCACTCAGCGAGTGTCCTGCTACCCGTGAGGAGTGCTGGCTTTTTCTTGCTGAAGTGTTGCCACTGCTGTTACAGTGGGTGAATCCGGGTGAACTGTCACTGTCGACGTTAGTTATGAACCTTATATTAATCACATGCTCTATGACGAAACTACGGGATTTATTAGGAGGGCAAGATGCAGAATGTTCATTTGCTTTAACACTTGTGGAACGCATATTTGACTGTTCCGCTCATGTGAAATTTGGGAAGGGATGCGCTTTTGACCTGCTCATGCATGTGATGAATGCTCTGTCTCTTAATTTGAGTGACGAGACTTTTTCTTGTTGCGTGTCCAGGGTATTAAAGGAGTCGGAGGTTCAAGGCGGCATTTCCAAGGCTCATGCTGTGAGTTGTTTGCTGGAACCTTTTGCTCGGCGCGCCCCAGAACGTATGATGCGGTGGGCCATTCAGACTTTTGCGCCACCCCTGAAGAATGTATCCACACCGTTGAATGAATTACAGTGGTGTGCACATCTTCTTGCCGGATGTATACGTGGCGCAGGGCTTGCAGGATTTTCATACCGACACGAACTGTTGCATTGTATTCAATGTCAGGTGTCATTTATCACCAGAGAAGAACAAATTTTGGCGGCAGCTGCCCTTTATAATGCATTGTTTACCGCCTTTACGGAATTTATTTGCACGGAAGCGAAGGCAGAACCTTTTTCTCACTCGAAAGTTGGTGATATGGCATTCTGTGATACAGATGAACTGGTTTACGACAAGAAACAGGATGAGTTTGAGGCGAGTATGTGCTTCTGTCGAAGCAGCGCTGTGCAGCTGACGTGGAGGGAGGCTTCGGAATTTCATATTGCCTACGTTGTTGATGTATACAAGCGTTTTGTTGAGGATTCTGTGGATATTATTCGTAACATTGAGCAGGTGCTGCCTCCCGCCGAAGGTGAAAGGGGTGAGGGGTTAAGGAGTCTTCTTCACATCCCGCTTGACAAATCAGCAGACACGAAGAGTGATGATGGTGTGGGTAAGTTGGGAGATGCCGCATCCGCCACGGCGTCCGTGGAGGCGGACGTTGATGCTTTTACCCCTAAAAATGTTCTGCGAGGGGTTTTGCTTTGGCTTCGTCTTGTGATTGAGATTAACCAAGAATTTCACGCCGATGTTTTTTGTGCGGCACAAACTTTCAACATGGTACCGTGGTGGGCGCAAGATCCCAAGTCTACGCTGCAGCTTTTGCCTCAATCGTTGGGGTCACCCTTACTGTCCGCCGTGCCGGAGAAAATACACAATGTATTGATTGAATACGCCTTCCGACGCGTGTCTGGGATGACGGCGGCGGAGAGTATCACTGCGAAGGCATTTTATCCGGACCGCAGCCTTGTGATGCAGGGAAGGCCCCGTTTGCATTCCACACAGGTGGATGAAATGGACCCCCGTGGGCTTCATTTGGTGTTGACTATTTTGGCCGAACTGTGTAACATCACTCCCATGACGCCTCTGCAGTATGATCACTGCTACATCTATAGTCAAGGTCCCGATGTATTTGCAAATAATGTGGTGGAAACACCAAAGGGGCGGCTTTACCTACCTGCCATGTACTGGCGTATGAAGGCAGAGTCGTTTACCCAGAAACGCCGGTCGCTTCTTACACGCGTGGTTTCGCCGAAAAGGCTAAGTGAGCTGCTTCGGATTGCCCACACTCTCCTTTTTTCACCATACCAATTAATTCAGGACAACTGCTCCCACATTTTGACAGGATGCGTGCCGATGATGAGCCGGAAGGCGACAAGTCAGTTCCTCTCTGAACACCTTTCGGTGCTTGAGGAAATTTCAAACCTGTGGAGCCAGGAAAACGATGTTACTGAGCAGCATTCGCATGATCATGATCCAGGGAATACGACTTCTCCTTCTTTTAGAGGCGACGACGATTGTGAGACAGACTACCCCGCTGACGGCCCTGATGGGGTGAAGGCGACCACCTTGAAAGGGTCCGGAAGAAGGAGGAAACATGACGACTGCAAGAAAAAAGTTGCCGTTGATGACGAGAGTGGATACGGCGACGGGGACGCTCCTGCTCCTGCTCCTGCTGCTGACGCTGCTGTTGTTGTTTGTTGTTGTGGTGGTGATGGTGATGGCGATGGCGATGACGACAAATACGAGGATATGAAGGGGGCGATGCCACATTTCTCGTCGCAGCTGCGACGGATAATATCAAGCGCTCTCTCTCTTATGTCAGCAGGTTTCAATAGCTCCTACTTTTATTACGACGATGACTTGATTTATCGCACCTGCGAGTTGTTGGTACAATTTCCTGATCAGCTCGTCGTGAGACGGATTATTTCCCGAGTTTTAACACAGAGTTCGTATGACCTCGGTTGTCTTTCAGCTATTGAGGGGGCGCGTGCGGTGCGGTTGTGTGATAAACTCCTTTTACTCGCAATGAAGTTTGCCCATACCGCGCCAGACCGGACACTTGGCTGCCTTTTGAAGATCGTTGCCCTTTACCGCCCATCGCAAATTGCCCTGCTTTCACCGCAAAGCGTACCACTACTCTTTCGTCTTGCAGTGAACTGCCATGCAAAGGTGCGTGAAACTTCATTTCACATTCTTCAGACACTTGTGCTCTCATTGAGGGAGCCGCATCCAAAGGCGTATGTCCTGACTAGGCGCGGTCCATTGGAGGCCAGCGAAAATGCTGCTTTTTTTCGTTCCCGCTATGAACTGCTGAAGCGTGAATGCCCCTCCTTTTATGGTCTGCGTGATTTGGGGTTGGCCTTTGTACCGAAAGCCATACGCGTTGACGCGGAGCATGTCTCTCCAGACATGTTTCACGACGGTGAAGTGGCTGCTGTCCCTGCTGAAACAGTCAAACTCTGTAAGAACTACACTGAGGAAAAAAGGGATTATTTTATAGATGCGGCTCAGGGAGAGGCTAAACAGCAAGAACAACGTCTTGCACAAGAGGAACTGAAACGGATAATTGGCTGTCTTTCTGGAATTCTTGATGATGAGCTTAATCCTTCTACCGCTGGAGAGGCCAATATGGATGATGCTGCTCGGGCGAAATTGCGGGACGGATGGATATGGAAGGTGATGCAGCTGCGCCATGATCAGAAGACTTTTTCAGAATCCCGTATGCGGGTATGGAAATCGATGGGAAAACTTGTGGGTGTGGAACCGTCCGTGCGCTTCTTTACGCGTTTAGTGCGTTTGTGGGTAAATGACTTTGTGGAACTGGCGCGTAGTGGCAGTGCAACCGCAAAAGAGAGCCAGCAGAGTTTATTTTCATGTCTTTTTGATGTGTTGGTAGCGGCTATTCGCATCTCTAAACGACACCCTGTAGCGCGCGAGGAGGCTCTGAGGTGTTATATGGATGCACTACGATTGGTGTGTACCAGTGCTTTGGTACCGCATGAGGTCCTTGATTCTTTCTTGCGGAGCATTTCGGCGTTACATGATACACTGAAGGGTAATGAGGTTTGGTTGATTTATGAGTTTCTTTTTGCGGAGCTGAAACCTTTTTTGAGGGCCCCACTGGCGACGGATGCATCTACGGTGAAAAATGAGACGGAGTCTGGCATGACATGTTGTACTTCATGGTGCTCTGGAAGAACGCAGGAAATAGTACGGGTATTGAATGTCATGGTGCACTTGATATGCGTCTTTGCACAGGAGGTCAATGTGGAACTTTTGCCCCAGTTGTGTAAACAGGTGCTACAAAATAAAGAGTTATTTCTTTGTAGTACTTCATCTTCTATTCAGGGTTGTTCAGCATTTATGATTTCGGAGATTATGCGCCTTTCTCTGTACCAAAGTGAGTACATCGCTTCCAATAGCGCTGTGTTAAATGAGATCTTGAGTTTTGTGGATTGTATAGAGCAGTTGGTGGAACTTCCACCCCCGCCTGCGCCGGAGCCACAACCGACACTGGCGCCGTGGAGTGAAACACCTGCACTGGGCGCAGTCCGAGCTCCATGTTTATCTACCGCCGATTCTATGGCGGTTGGGTCATCGCCAGAGCTGCCTATGGAGCCGTGCCCACCGCTGATTGAGGGCTTCAGTCTTGACGGTGGTCGCTGCACGAAGCCGTTTGGAAATCTTGCAACCGTGAAGACATTTGTCATGTGCTGGTGCAGGCCACTTCCTCCTCTTTTAAACGCGCGTGTGAAGAGCGTTCTTAATGTTCTTGTGCGTGCATTAGACATTGCCTTGCCGGAGATGGATGCTTTAAATCTCCGAGTGGAGGCTGCACTGCAGCGCATTGCGTATGTCCGCTTACCGAGAAACACAATTCATGATATGTTGCAGATGCTCTGTGGCATCCTCAAGGAGGAGCAGCCGTACGGTAAATCACGTCCGGCCAAAGTTGCTGTTAGCCGCATGCTGAGTCGTGTTCTTCTTACTAATCTTCATCGTATTGGCAAGTTCGCGACCATGCAGAATGTTGCGTCCGCAGCCTTGGCATCTATCGGTCACGGCGACGGGCGCGTTCGAAGCGAGGGAAGACTACTGTTGGCGGTTCTCACACGGGTGGCATCTGTGGAGCAGATTGAGCGCATAATTCGTGATTGCTTTATGGAGCTGCGCGGCCTGTCGTCAGTGGCTGCGTCAATGACTGGGGGTCATCTTCAGTCCCCACACACACTCCATGAAAACGTGCGAAAGCGTCGACGTATCGCACTGCTGCTCGCGTTGTGTTCTATTTTATGCGCCACTCCGGGTGTCGTCCCGCCGTACGTGCCCCGCCTTATGGAGCGTCTAGCGGCGCATGCGCATGATCCAGCGCCGGAGGTGCAACGTGCTGTGAAGCGGACCTTTGAGGAATGGTGGCGCTCGCACCGCGAGGGGTGGGAGCTGGAACACAAGCCACGCTTCGTTGCCGCCAACATTCAAATTGATGCGATGCTGCCGCTGCTGACAGCCCCGGCCTATCTTGTCTGAAGTGGCGGAGCAGAAAAAAAAAGAAGAAATAACGCCAATACGGGAGCGGGAAACGACAGAGAAGCAAAACATGCACAGCACAAAGGCTGTGATGTCGACATTTTTTTGCGTGGAACGCTTTACGACCCTTCATTCTTCTTTTTAGGAAAAATATACAAAAACAAGCAAAAAAAAAACGAAAAGAAAAAAAAAAAAAGAAGATAATAATAATAATATGATGTGAAAACCAAATAACTGGGAAGTACTCCGCTCCATGACACACACGCAAGCGCGCTTATATATATATATATATATATATATAAACACCTGTTTTCTTTTCTTTGCTTTTTTTTTCTTTTTTTTAATATGTTGTAATTTGAAATTTATATGCGAGAGGAAAGAAGCGAGGGGAGGGATGAGGCGTAACGAAGAGGCAAAGAAAGTGGAGGGACTCGCCCTCACGGTGGGTAATGTTCGATAACGACGTGCTCTTTACCATTTCCTATCAGGCATTAATTCTTTTTTTTTTTTTTTTTCATTTTGTTGTTTTTCTTTCTTCCCTATCGATCATTGCACCACACAATGGAGGAGGGACGATTCATTGAAAACCGGTATTCCCAAGATTGGTAAAGGCGCTGTCAAATAATTGATAAATTGGAGGAAGATAAAGTTCCTCTTAAAGCATAAGCAAATAAGCAATTATAACTGTATTCACACGCAGAGGGAATGCACGCAAACGCTTCCTTCTTTTTTTTATTTTCTTTTCTTACGGTCGTTGGTGCTGCTGCTGCTGTTGTGCCGGCCCTCTTTTTTTTTTTTTTTTTTTTTTCCTCCTCTGCTGCAGTCCGCTTACTGTTTTTCTGCTCCTGTTTTTTTTTTCTTTTTGCAGGAGCATCCGCATCAAGGTGTGATTCTTTGTTTTCTTGGGGGATTTCTGCCTCCCCAGCGTGGGGGCATTGTTGTTTGCGTTCGATCTTCTTGCCACGCACCGCCATCGTTGGATCGGACCGGAGAGTAGCGGCGGAAGACGAAAGAAAAAAATAAATAAATTAATAAATAAAGAAAACAATTGAAGGGACATATTTGCAGAGAAGATGGTGTCGACAAGCGTGAATCCGGAGGTAAAAGCAGAAACGGAGGACTCCGCCACAGTCCGCGCGGCGGCGGCACCGTCACCATTGAAGGGAAAGAGGATGCCGCCGGAGATGAATAAAGTTACCGCCGTGAGAGCGCCATCGGTAACTCCACTACTCTCAGTTCTTTTTATGGAGGTGGAGCAACTCGCGAATGCTGTTAGGGAGCCCTCTACCCTTCTTACAGATACGACGGATAAATTGATACAAATGCGAGCCCTACTGAAGACGATGATGGATAGTCTGCGGAATTGTCGTCACTGCATACGAAGGGGACAAGCGCTTTCTCGTCTTCCTCGTCTTGTGGTCACCGGGCCTTCACAATCTGGGAAAAGCACACTCATTGATTTTATCCTTCAACGACGCCACGCCCAGACGAAATTGGATTCTGGAGCCACCGCTGTCTCTAAGGCTGAGGAGTGCGATAAGAGTGAACATTCATTAAGGAAGATTCTATCTCCACGTCCGATGAATTCTTCTTCTACCTCCCTTGAAAGTCACAGCGTAAATCGAATTAGTGATTGCAGCACCAGTTTTTCCAAGTTAGGAGGCTTGCCGTGCCAAAAGCCAAATGGGATGAATGGCATGGATGAGCACGAGGAATTAGAGGGTATTCTTTGTTCATCAACATCCAACGCAAGTATATTTGTGCCATCGGAGCGCGGCAATAAACCAGACACCAACCACAATGTTGAAGATGCTGCGCAGCACGAGGTATATAACCTACCTTTCCTGAACGAACGTTCCCGTTGGCGATATGGTCGTGGGAACGATGGGGCAAGAATTAGGCAGCCCCTCAGAGTTGTGAAGTTGGCATCAATTTCTGGACGTCGTATGTCGAAGTCCGCGGGGAGTGACGTTGTCACTGGCATGGATAAGAATTCGCCCCATGGTAGCATGGTGGTGATATCTGGTAGGTTTGATATTACCATTGTTGATCGGATTCGAAGGAAAAAAGGGGATGCTGCGCATTTGCTACGAGAGGGGGAGAAGAAGTTGTGCGATCAGGCTAATGGTATTCATTCACTAACAACCAATAGCGGTGTTTCTGGTTCCAGGCAAACGAACGCGCCGTCCGCATCTGCAGGTTCCGTGGGAGCGGGTGTGAGATTATTCAACCCGTGTCGAGCACCGTTCTGGCTGTTGCAGGAAAATGTGGGCGGCGGTGTGCGGTGGGAAGGCGAGGGGACGACAGCCGTTCAATTGTCCGACTCTCTGTGTGCCGAGGCGTTTTTTTTTACTCTTCCCTGCGAAGTGGTTGGCACGCACCGAATGGTGGCCATCATGAATGAATTCTTTGAACCCTTTGCTACTCTCACTGAGGGAGATCGATGCAAAGACGGTGGCGGTGAAAATGTCACCTCACCTTCCAATCAGCAGCAGCGACATTGTTCGCAGGAAAAGAAGGGTTGTGCTCATGATGAGAAAGGGGATGATTATCAAAGTATTTGTCAGCTTATCTCTGACATAACATTTTATGTGTTAACCTTTTCGGACGCCATAGTGTTGCGTTCTGAAGGGGTGCAGACGACAGATAAGCAACTTGTCAATCGATCACCACCGATGGCGAATAGTCTACCGGAACTTGTCGCAATGTTCCAAAGGGAAATGTTACGACTCTTTGACATCCATGTGGATAGTTGGCAGGTCATCCCTTTTAGTGGTCCTATGAGTCGGGTTACAAGGGATGTCCTCACAGAGATTTACGAGGCACGGTTGGCGAGGATGGATTTATTGGACGCAGATGATGGTCCCCCACCGACGTTTTCCGCACTTGAGCCACTATTTTCACTGAACGTCTCTACTTTGTTCCCAATAACATCGGGGGTAGTGAACACAGAGGGTAAATTGCAGGTAGCGATAACGGAATTTTGTGATGTGATGTATGGACAACGATTTAAAGAGAGCAGAGGCAGTTTTTCGCACGGACAAATGGAAGAGCTTGTGTTGCAACACGCCCTCAGAGACGTGTGGAAAGACTCTGGGGCATGCCAACTGCTCCATATTGTACGGTGCTTTGACTGGAACTCCCCCCACCATACTGTTTCCCAGATCGCTCTCTCCCTTGTGATTTGGTGCAGGCAGATGCATTTGGTGCTTCTACAGGCGCAGAAAATTCTTTGGCAGCGATTAAAAAGTCTTCAAAGTGATTTGCAGCGAATAAATCGAGATGATGACAGGGCGAAATCGGCAGTGCGGCAACTGAAGGAGGAGTCCATCCCCCGGCAGATGACCCAAAGTATTGTGTTTAAGGTGCAAAAACAATTCGAGGAGCTCACTATTCGTTTTTGGTGGACTTTAGTGACATTGCTGGACGAAGAGAATGTACGGTATGGGGTTTATCGTTCTGGCAGTGCGCAGATGTTGACATCCACACGCAGTTGTCCATTGCTGCTGCCGTTTTCCTCCTTATCTATGAAAGCACGGAAGAGACTATGCAGGCAGTACCATCGGTTTTTGGTTGTTTACGTGACTCAGCGTTACCAAACTCAAATGTCACAACTGCAGTCTATTATTGAGGAGAAGAATCAAAACCTTGGCGGAAACACGTTGGGTCATGCTAAAGAGCGGTCGATGGATCAAGAGGAAATACGTGATTCGTTGGATGCGGATGCGTCTACGCTTCCCCCCAATTTGGGGAGTCTGATGGAGGATATGAGGCATCATATACCTTTTGTTGCACAAAATGCGCGAGAGCTGAAGCTGACAATGAGGAAGGAGTTATCACTATTGCTTGCTCGTCTCAACACGGAGGTCATCAACTACTTTATGGCAGAGCTTGCAAATGCCTTTCCTGCTCTTGTGAAGATGTGTGAAGTTCAACGGAAGATTGCGAAAGGTAAGTTGTTGCAGTTGGTGACGACTGTGAACTCTCGAGAGACGTATGATTCCGCTGAGCGAAGACTTCTGCGTTCGATGTTGAGCGAAATTCCACGTCTCCGTCTTCTTGAGATGCGGCCGGATCAGGAGCTGGAGGCGTTTGTAACGGGTTTGCGAAGTTCTCTTTGTCAGGATCAGCTGGTGCTTTATGTGAAGCACTTGGATGACGGATGGAATGGGCAATACGCGGGGTGTGCTGCAAAGACTTTAGCGTATCTTTTGAAGGCCGACTGGGAGAGCGATGCCCGGCAGTTACGCTCCGTAGACTACATTCAGCCGCAGAACGCTACTTTGTTGCAGCAGCTGCGGGAATATCAAGACGTTTTTTGGGCCCCGATGGAGATGACTGAGATGACCCCATTGCCATCTGACCGCGGAGGAAATTTGGCATGTATCGGGCTTGGGGATCAGCCGTCTATAAACGGTGCCACTGGAAAAACAAAAGAGGCAGCAGGAACACACGTAGATAACGGTTCTTCTGTATCAAAAGAGCTTCCACAAGAGGGCGAAAAAGGTTCATTGATGGGATCGAACGATATTCTTGTATCCAAGAGGAATCCTATAGGGTTTTTTCTTGCCGTGTGGCAGGAGGTGTTTTCTTCAATGTCTTTCCGTCCATGGTTACTGTTACACAATGTGCGTTATGCCAGTCTACTAAACAATATAACTCTCATTTTCCTCAGGGGGCAAGCTCGACTAGAATCCGTATTGAAGGAACGGAGTTGTGAGACGGAGGCAGTACTGCGGAGTGTGCGTCATGAAATGCATCTTCTGGGGGTAGAGTTACCTTCTTCCTTGAAGCGCCTCAGCAGCAGGGCGATAGCTGCTGCACATAACATGAAGAAACTTAATGCAGAGACAATTATAAGTCTCTCTTCGTGATGCTTGGATGTATAAAAACGGAATTGGAATTTAATGATTTGCGCTAATGTAAATACGTATGCAAGCGAGAATACCGCCTCACTTTTTAATATTGCGCTGGGATTCCATGTGATTTGGATGTCTTTATATAAACAGATGAATTGCATAGGCCCATATCTACATATATTTCAATGTGTAGCATTAGTGATATTGTGACGATTGATGCGTTCTGAATTATGGATGTGAAATTATATCAGCTGTGCCACTCCATTTTTTTAAAATTATTTTTATTTATTTATTATTATTGATGTTTTCTGTTCATTTTTTTTTTTTTTTTTGTGAAAGTGTGCTTCCATGGAAGGGACCTGCTTACTTTTCCAGAATGGCGACATCCCTTTTTGCATTGTTCCTGCGGACACGAATTTTTTATACACGCATTCATACACATACACTCACATCTTTTCCTCCCTTTCTTTTTCCTGCACACAGGATGACTGAAGCCGCCAACAGCCAGCGGGTCACCACTTCTTCACACCGGGTTTTTCTCCACTACTGCCAAGGAGCACAGGAAGGGAGGTTAGAAACGAAGAGGAGGCTGAAGGCGCAGGAAAACAACAAAACCGCACGCATCCATCTTGAGCGCCTAATAAATAAGCAGAGGACAACGTTAGTAAAAAAGAAAAGACAGTGAAATATGGCGGACACTGTTACAGCGCCTACTTTTCGGGATTACACAGCAACGTTTAGCGCTGCGATGCCACCAGTTCTTTCCTCTCAATCTGCATCATTTTCTGCTTTGCTGAAGCCCACGCCAACTGCACTGACCAAAGTACCATCAATCGGAATTGACTGCTTTCCCCAACGTTTTGGAGAAACAGGTGTGCCTGGTGCGGCGATGGGGAGGACATTTCTTGGTATTTCCGGCCCGATGCTGCATACTAGGCAGATGGAGGCAGGGTTGGTCCGTAGGGAGATTGTTCTTAGATCTGAGTTTGATCGACTGCGTCATGCTGACGAGGAACGCATGCGCTGGGACCGTCAACGTGAGCGAGAGGCGATGCTCGCTGAAGAGCGGCAGCGGATGCTTGACCTGGCAAAAGAAATTGAGATGGAGCGGGCGAAGCGTACTGAGGAACAACAGAAACGCCTACTCGCGCAGGAGAGGGAGCTGGAGGAATGGAAACACGAGAGGGCAAAGGAAATGGAGGAACAACGGCGTCGACGCGTGGAGGAAGAAGACCGATTACGTGCTCGCCAGCATGAGCGGGAGATGCTACTAATGCGGGAGGAGGCGGAATTAAGACTGCAGGCGCAGAAGTCTGTGGATGACCACAAGAAATCCATTGAGACCTCCGTCAACAGCGCCGCCGAGGCCGTGATGGCACGGCTTCGCGAGGAGTTTAGGGCGATTGAAGGGCAGTGGACCAGTCGCCTTGAGCGCCTACAGTTGGAACACATCAATGAAACGGCTTCTCTTCGTCAAGAGATTGAGCGCGAACGACAACTTGTTGCCCACGGTGAGTCTCAACTCTCCGAGACACGGAATCAACTTGCCAAACTGACGTCACAGTTAGAAGAGCTGTGTCGTCAGAGGGAGGGCGATGCCCACAGTCGAGGAACAGAGACTTTTATGGGAGAAATACACCAAAAGGCAATCGAGCGGCTTCAACGTGCATTTGAAGAGGATAAGCAAAGCACAAAGCAGTGGTTTGTGGAGGAGCAACAACGTATACTGAACTCGCATGAGCGCACCCTCCATGAGATACAGGATAGCCACCGTGCGCAGGTTCGTCGTTTAGAGGAAACTCTGGACGCGTCAAACCGTCAGTTGCGTGAAATGGAGATTGAGGTACAGCAATATAAAACGAAATTGGCGGGAGCGGCTCTGAAACCGTCTTCGGCATCGGCAGATGAGTTACGACTACGGGAGGAGTTGCGGACAATACGGAAACAATTGAATGAGGCGGTGGACGCGAAACAACGTTTAGAGCGCCGATCTCGAGAAATAGAACAGGAGTGTGACGATGGGCGTAAGGCTCAACAGGCGCTGCAGTTGGAGATGGAGGCTTTGACAGTGCGACACAACGCGGAGCTACGTTCATTACGAGAAGAAAATCAACAACTTATGGATCAACTCACTAGTGCGAGGGAGGCGCATGCGGAGGAACTGCAGCAGGTTCGCAAGAATCAACGCAAAAGCGAGAGCGCGGTCACACGTGACGCAGCGAAGGAGTTTGAGACGACATTGAGGCGAATGAATGAGCGCCATGAAGAGACGAGACGCGCATTGGAGTTGGAGAAGGGGCAGCTGGTGCGTCAGCTGCGAGAGGCGGAGCAGCGATGCGAAGACAAGCAGCGGCGTTTGGAGATTGAACTGGAGAAGTCGGAAGCCGCGCGGCGTGATGGCGAGCGGATTCAACAAAAACATGATGAGAAAGAACGCGCCCTCGCCGAGCTGCAGGAGAGCGTTGAGGAACTTAAGCGGAAGGACTGCTCTGTCGCCGATTTGAGCTCGCGAAATCGCAAACTGCAGCAGGAGTTGGAGCAGCTGCGCCACAATCACGAGACCGCCACCCGTGCAAAGGACAGTGAACTCCAAGAGTTGCGTCACGATCTTGCCGAAACACGGCGCCGAGTTGTTGGTCTGCAGGACGAGTTGACGGCGGCGCGGCGAATGCAGGAGGAAGTGGAGGTGCGGATGAAAAGTTATGTGAGCGACGCCGAGTTGAAGGAAAAACAACTTCGTCGCAGCTTGGAGGAGGCTACGCAGAGTGTACAATCGTGGAAGGACAGCTACACTCAGTTGCAGTCGCAGTCTGCCTCAGCGGCACCAAAAGTGCAGGGTTTGCTGAGCGAAAAGGAAACCGAGTTGTCTCGTCTTCAGGAAACCCTGGACGCCCTGAAGCGTGACAAGAACTCACTAGAGAAGAGGACACAAGAACTACAGACGATTTCTGCTACCAGAGAAAAGGAGATGCTTGATCAGGCGTCTGTCGTGAAGAGGCTAAATGCGGAGATTGTATCGTTACGGGAGCAACTTTCTACGGCCATGCGGCCAGCCAAAGAGATGTCCACGCAGTACTTGTCCCGGGCGTTGGATTACTCCCAATCTCCTCGAACACCAACTGTGGGTGGAGCTACTGACGCGCGGCCCGCACAACCAAAATCAACAGTGGAAGCCAGTAAAAGTAGCAACCTGAGTTTGACTGCAACTGCACCGATGTGTTCTCCACAAGTAGTGCACCCCGCTTCCGATTTTACAGGTGTTTTCTCTTCTTCGAATCCATCTATGGCATCGAGGCCACTCTCCGTCCGAGCTTTGTCTCATGCTCTGACCACAGATGCCTCCCCACCATCGCGCTCCGGCAATTTATCGGTCCCTGTGCAAATTTCTGAGGGGGTTCCATTACCTACTGGGCGCCAGTCTATACCCACGGTACGGCCGTCGCTGCCAGGCGTGTTTCCTCCAGGAGTGGGTACATTCAACTCGGGAACTCATGTACCTGTGGGTTTCTCGCCCCTTGCATCCGCACAGGCCAATACTTCTGCAATTGCTTCCCGGTCACCTTCAGTCACTGTACCGGCGCCCTCGACATCTCCGACGGCACCAGGACATTTTTCTGCGCAATCAGTTGTGCCAGTGCCGGTTCCTGTACATGTGCCTACACCTGATCCTGCCGTGGGGCATCCTGTTTCATCGAGTACCTTACCTCAGACGTCACAGCAGATCAATCCGAGTTCAGGCTTATTGGGGGTTTCTAGTGGTGTTTCTATTTCTCAGCAGTTGGTGCCGCCTCCCGCACCAGCCGCTGCTGCCACTTCAAATACTGCTTCTTTGGTTCCATCTGGGGTGTCTTCGACGATATCTGTGCCTGTACCGCTTTCAATACCAAACCCTGCGGCTGGGAACCCAAGACCGCAGTCGGTGCCACTGACATCTGCTCCCGTGCCAGTACCCATACCACTGCCAATTGCTCCGATGGCCACTGCCCCTTTTTCAAGAAAGTAGAAGCCATTTTGGACGATGTACAAGGAGATGAGCGACTTTTGACTTTATTACTGAATTTGTGCCAATTTGTCTGGATCTCTCTTTTTATTTACCTTTTTTTTTTTTTTGCGGCGTTTTGAGAGAAGCCTGAGAGTTTTCCTTTTGCAGCCATGTTGATAAGTAGATATTGCATCTGTGTTAACGGTTTCTTGGTAGTTTCTTTTGTGAATATTTTGTTTTTTTGCCTTCTTTTAGTGGGCGGCAGAAACAAAAAAAACAAAAACAAAAGCAAAAACAAACCAGAAAAAACAAAAAAAAAAAGGGAATTTGTATTGTCTGCTTCCTTGTTCTGTTTACTTTTGTATGAGTGCAGCGAAGGGCCATATGAAGAGGGGACGCGGTGAAGAGGTTGTCCCGGATGCCGATGAGCTTGACAGCGATGCACCCTTACTCAGCCAAGTTTGTTTGCCTCCCCACGATGCTGAGGTCTCTACGCAACAACGGCAAAGGAAAAGAAAGCAAGAACAACAAAAAAAGACCGTCTGTGGCTCTACGCGGGTTGCACACACGGGCCATGAAACAAGTTTTTCCGATTTGGCTGAAGATACCAGGCGGGAATGTGGAGAAGAAAAAAAATTTCTTTTTGACAAGTCGGTGAGGAATGCAATGCGACCATCGGTGACATCTCAGTTTAAGCTGATGTGGTGTTGGCCTGCGTCCTCGACAAATCAGTTGGATGTGGTGTGTGAACGTGGTCCCAGAAATGTCGGGCCCACGTCTATTGTTGAGCTCCGTGGCGAACCTTTTCTTCGGGAGGAGAACCGCCGGGTGGCTGTTGTTGTGAATTGCGGGGAGCGATTTTTGCTCCCACTTTTGCCAAGACCGCGTGAAGGCAGTACAGAACAGGAGAACGGCGTTTTTTGGAGCACTTCTACAAGGCCGAACCAGGATTTGCCGCCAAGTTTTGCGGAGCTTCTTGTTGGGACTGTGCAGGATCTTGAACGAGCTTCTAATATCGTTCAGAATTCGCCCTCTTCCTTTCACACGCAAGCTGATGGGGCGGGTATTTGTGATGGAACTTCAGCAAAAGAAGAAGAAGTGGACTCAGCTGGTTCATTGCGTACATTCTTTTTTAGATCCTTGCCGTACCGTACATTGTGGCTTCATCAGTTTTCCAAGTGTCTTATCATATCCTTGCCGTGTGAAGAGCGTTTGATTTCGTTAAATTTGGGGCGCAGCACGCACAGCACCGAAGTATTTCCCAAGCTAGTGATGAAGTCCATTGAATGCACGGGTTCATTTCTTCTTCCTTCTTTTATGGTTCCGCTTGATATTAGTGAAGTCTACCACCGACCTTTCTTGGCTGTCGGAACCATGTGTCACGGGGTTCTTGTTGTTTTACTTGAAAAAGGGATGTGCGCTAGCGTTGTACATCGTTTGCCGCTCTCTGGTCTCTCCACATCAATGTTTCCAGTAACACACATCTGCGCGGTGTTTCCTCCTTTGCGCTGTGAGAATGACAAAAGCGGCGGACTTGGAGTGTGGGGAGCCAAATCTGCCTTTCTTTCCCAGTGTTTGGAGGGCGCCATTCTTTGTGCCTCACCATACGAAAACCGCACCGTTGTCGCGAAGTGCAGCTCCGCTGGGGGCGAGGGTTGTGGATTTGAGCCACCTCCACCCACAAGAACTGTGGCGAGGTTTCTTTGTTCAACACCATACTCTTCGCCGGAGTTTGGCCCAATTATCGCCACATTAGATGGGAGACTGTTACATTTTGGGGTAGACGACACCAAACTGAGCGAGACAGAGGGCTCTCCTACGAAATCCCAACGCAAAGATTGTCGACAACGCTATGGCGCCTTTGACTTGGTGAGTCCGGAGGTCTTTTATGTTAACACCATGCGTGTGCTATTGGGCGTGACGCCAAATCACTTCTGTGAGGGCGGCCCGGTGCGCCAAAAAGTATCACACTCCAGTTACCAAGCAAGCTTTGACCGTCATTGGCTGTGTTTGACAGGTATTTCGCATCAAGTAATTCTACTTGACCGAAGGGCGGCAAACTACGTGAAGCACAGTGCGATTACCCTTACCGTTCCAAAGTCTCCCTCCTTTGTTGCCACGGCTTCCACCTTGGAGAGTCGCCCGCCAGAGGTGTCAAACAAAAAGCAGAAAAATGTTTCTTTTTGTGAAGGCAATGGAGCTCAAGAGATTTCTGGAGATGATTCTGTGTATCCCACTGCAATAGAGGACGGCATTAGCGGCATTTCCTGGGTTCGAGTAACTGATGGTATGCTGCAGCTTGTTGCTGCACACCACCAAAACTGGTTAACCGTTGTGACATGGGAAGTATAGAGACTGAGTGCCTTCCCAAAAGCGTTTTTTTTTTGTTTCATTTGTTGCGGGAACGCATCCCCCTTTTGGGATGCGTTGATTGCTAAAGTCATCAAAACTTTCGTAACCTCTGCCTTTATACTTTTTTTGCTTCTTGAGATATTGATATTTATTTTATACCGTTTTCTCATTTTTGTTATTATGTTGTGAATGCATGAGATTAAAATCTTGCCGTGGCCATTTAAAACACACAAAAAAAGCATCAGGGTAATGATGGAGGGATTTTACGGTGTTGAAGTTGCTTCTGGGCAGCAGGTGAAGCCGAAGATTCCCGAGGAACACGCCCTCCGCCTGACGCAGCTTGCTCTTCCCGCCAATGCCAGTGCTGCGATTTCGCTCATTGTTTCCTTTCAGGGGAAGCAGTTCACAATCGCCACGCTTGACCCCAAGAAGAACCTCTTTCAGATGAGTACCGATCTTGTCTTTACGGAGCCCACGACGCTGACCGCGACAGGGGCGGGCTGTGTGCACGTGACTGGATACATTCAGCCGGTCGGCAACGACATGGACAGCCTTAACGGCCAAGACCTCAGCGACGATATGGACGAAGACGATGACGACAATGACGACGAGGATGTGGCTCAGAGGAAGAGGAAAACCGCCAATGCCGCCCATGCCGATGACGACGAAATTGATGAGGATGATGACGACGAGGAGGATGATGATGGCGATGATGATGATGATGATGATGATGAAGATGATGATGATGATGATGATGATGACGATGATGATGGTGATATGGTCTTGAGGGAAAGAAATGGCAAACCCGCTGCCCACCCCAATGAAGACGACGTCGATGAGGACGAAGAAGATGACGACGACGATGAGGAGGTTGATGACGATGAGGAGGAATGCGAGCAGCCCACCAAGCTACAACGCACCGAACAGGCTGGATTCCGCGGTGGGAACCGCGGTGGCTTCCGTGGTGGACGCGGTGGTGATCGTGGTGGCTTCCGTGGAGGACGCGGTGGCGATCGTGGTGGCTTCCGTGGAGGACGCGGTGGTGATCGTGGTGGCTTCCGTGGAGGACGCGATGGTGATCGTGGTGGCTTCCGTGGAGGACGTGGTGGCGATCGTGGTGGCTTCCGTGGAGGACGCGGTGGCGATCGTGGTGGCTTCCGTGGAGGACGCGGTGGCGATCGTGGTGGCTTCCGTGGAGGACGCGGTGGCGATCGTGGTGGCTTCCGTGGAGGACGCGGTGGCAACAGCGGTCGGCGTTAAATTTGAGTTTCTTTTTGCCGCCAGCGGGTGGAATGTGAAGGGCGGCTACCAGATGTGGGGAGGGGGAAGCACAATGTTCTGTTCTCTTGCTTGTCCTCCGTGCTGGGAGAAATGAATCATGGTCTTGTTATTCTCCCTTGAAGAGGAGGGGTGGGGTGATTAGGGTTGTGGACCGTGACCCCAACACGTATGTGCAGGTGGTGGTGAGGTGGGCGTCAGAATTCATGCCAGGGCTTATTGGCTGGGATAAATGAGATGAGCAGCAGTGGAGCATAGAAGAGCCACTAAGAGATAAGGTGCAAAAGCAAAACATTTTTTTTAATTTTTTTTCCCTTTTTTTTTTTTGTAAATCTGTGTAAGAGGTCGGTGCGGAGGCCATAACTAAGCGGCGTAAGTGAATTGTAAGTAAACATAAAGTAAAAAAGAGAAAATTGAAGTGCAAGCAGACACTTTTTTCCCATTGCGGAGAGAGGGCTAAGAGGATTCCGCCATGATTTTCAGTCTCTTGCCCTGTGTGTCGTGTTGGGGTACGATAATAAGCAATAATGAGGGCTCCCGTCTCTTTGTTCCTTCTTGCTGTTTCTTCGCCTGTCCATTGCTGCTTTTTCCCTCACTAATTTTGCCCAGACATTCTCTCCGTTTCCTCTATTTTGTCTTTGCTGTTTCTAGGAATAGGTCACCATGGCGACCACACAGAGGTGTGGCAGTCAGGGGGGGAAAAGAAAAACCGATGGGATGCTGATTAGCCGCATTTGTCTGTCAAATGGAGATGTTTCTTCTTTTTGTTTTGTCGGCGGAAGGGACATTACGAATGGACGAATTGGACTTTGGTTTCTCCGGTGCACAGAGACAAATGATGCTTGCATCTGCATGAAACAATGTCTTTTTTATTTTAATTTTGAATACAAGACGGCATTGCGTTGATGAATGATGTTTCCCTTCCTTCCCGTGATTTTTTTTTGTTTGTTATTTTTGTGCCTTTTGTGTTGTTGTTGTTGTTTTTTTTGTTGCGTGGATGCATACAAGGAGGTTATTCTTGGGAAGGGGGAAAAATAGAAGGAAGAAGGAAGAGGGATCACTTATAAAGCGTACATTGAATAGGAAGAAAACATAATAACAATAATAATAAAACAATAGCAGCTAAAGCCATGCAAGAATTTCATGCCTTTGAAGTACAACCCGGCAAGGAACACGCTCTAACACTGCCACCTCTTCACGGCTTTCATCTCTCCGTCGTGTCGATCCCGCACGCTGGCAAGGGACGCAGCACACTGTACGTGACGGTGGACGGCAAGTCTTACGCCATCGCGACTCTTGATGCGTCTCAGGGCATCCTTCAGAACGCAACGGATCTCATTTTTAACGAGGCGCAAAAGGTGATTTTTCGTGTGAAAGGAAATGCGCCGCTGCATTGCTGTGGATACCGACAGGAACTCGATGTGGACTTCCACGACGCCAATGACAGAGACGGCAGCGTTGATGATGGTCCGAACGCCGTGCCTATGAACGGGGGGAAGGACAAGGAGGAAGAAGAGGAAGACGAGGAAGAAGACGAGGAAGAAGACGAGGAGGATTACGAGGAGGAAGACAAGGAAGAGGACAAGGAGGATGACATTGTTCTGCACGACCCGACGCAGGCACCGCAGAACGACTACCAAGGCGACAAGAGTGAGGATTATGACACTGATCATGAGGAGGAGGAAGATGAAGACGAAGAGGAGATGGACGATGATGAAGTGCAACCGATGAAGCGGGCCAAGCCTGAAGAGAATTCACAGAGCCAAAAAAAGCCGCAGCAGGCGCAGAGCCCTCAGAACCGACCCAGCAATCAGCAGAAGCCGCAGCAGGCGCAGAGCCCTCAGGGCCGACCCAGCAATCAGCAGAAGCCGCAGCAGGCGCAGAGCCCTCAGGGCCGACCCAGCAATCAGCAGAAGCCGCAGCAGGCGCAGAGCCCTCAGGGCCGACCCAGCAATCAGCAGAAGCCGCAGCAGGCGCAGAGCCCTCAGAACCGACCCAGCAATCAGCAGAAGCCGCAGCAGGCGCAGAGCCCTCAGAACCGACCCAGCAATCAGCAGAAGCCGCAGCAGGCGCAGAGCCCTCAGAACCGACCCAGCAATCAGCAAAAGCCGCAGCAGGCGCAGAGCCCTCAGAACCGACCCAGCAATCAGCAAAAGCCGCAGCAGGCGCAGAGCCCTCAGAACCGACCCAGCAATCAGCAGAAGCGTGGTCGCGAATAGGTGAGGCGTTTGTTTCATTATCTTTTTTCTATTTAAGAAATTAAGCATATTTAAATTGTGTTGTTTGATGCAACTAAAGTTAATATAATCTTTATTTTTTTATTGGTATGACCTTCGTAACGGCCTGGTGTTTCTGATTACTTCCAGTGACCGATATACATTGATAATGGGCCCATCCGTAAAAATAACTTGAAGAAACACAAATAATAACGGAAGATTCGAGAAGCTAAAGGGATGTTGCGTTCGGTTATCCCCCAGTTTTTTCATGTGGTTGAGTCCGCGTTGATTGGTGCCTTTAGCTGCATGCTCTGGGGAATAATTGACGTGTGTTTCTGCGAGTTGCTTTTTTTTTTTCCAGTGTGTGTGTGTGCGTGAGCATTTTTTGTGGTGAGCCACAGGTTGAATCCCCATCACTTATGTTTTTTTCTTTGAGGCGATTTTTTTTTTAAATTTTCTTTTGCCCTGCGTTTTTTGGATGTGTTTATTATTATTTTTTTAGGTTGCAGCTGCAAAGTTGTGGCACAAGGGAAACGGGGTGCGATCGGCCTCCATGACAGAACTCGTGAACCCAAACCCAACTGTCTTTCGCGACGCTCTGCAGCATCAACCGCAGCGCAGTGCGGAGGAGCTGCTGCAGGAGCAGGACGAGTCTTTTCGTGACCCCATTGACTCACTGGAGGTGTTTCACCACATCCGCAGTATACGTGATCCCGAGCATCCCAACACACTCGAGGAACTGAAGGTCGTGGAGCCGGAACTCATTCGCGTGGATGAGGTGAAGCAGACCGTGCGGGTGCAGTTCACCCCGACCGTCCCGCACTGCAGCATGACAACACTGATAGGGCTGTGCATTAGTCTGAAACTACAGCGTTCACTGCCACGTGGGACGAAAGTGGATGTGTATGTCACGCCCGGCTCACATGAGCAGGAGGAGCAGGTGAACAAGCAGTTGAACGACAAGGAACGGGTGGCGGCGGCGCTGGAAAACAAAAATCTTCTGAACGTTGTGGAGTCGTGCCTGAACGAATTTGAGTGAGAATTTAAATGAAGACAACTGAGGCGATGTGTAGACGACTTTTCTTTTCTGTTAATGTCTTTTGGTGGATGTGACTTTGTGCGGCTGCTGGTGAGGAAGCGAGGGGATTTTTTTTTTTTTTTTTCGTGTTTGTGAGGGGAGGTGTGTTCCATCGGTACTTGGCTCCTACCCTTTTGTTTTTATGACACCATTGAGGTGCCAGCCGGGTGTAATGACGCTGTTTTTTTTTTTTTTTTTTTTTTTTGTGTGTGCCTGCTGTATATTTCATTGCCTTTTCTCTTTTTCTTTTTCTTTTTTGTTCATGTCTGTAGGAGCGTAGGCGTGGAGGTTTTCACCTCACTGTCATTTAAATTTTATTTGAGCTTTTTTTTTTTTTTGGTTATCTCTTGGGTTTTGCGTTTCAGGTACACTCACCGAAACACAAACATCCGGAAGGCAAAGAAGGAAGGGGAACCCCGCATACTTTTGGTTGCACGCGTCATCATCGCTTGTGGTTCCGTTAAGAGGAACACCGCAGTACTCCCGGAATCCGTTTCTTTCTTTCTTTCTTCCGTGCCGGTTTCCCTGCCCACTTGCACACCCGCATATACGCACAATACATATATATATATATACATATATATATACGCACACATACAAACACACACGCACCGTCGTACTATTAAGTAGTATTGGTGTGGCATTATATATTATTATTACTATATATATATATATATATATATATATAGTCCCACTTTCCCTCTCGGACTGTCTGTCTGTCTGTGTGTGTGTGTGTGTACGTGTATCATTTATAAATAGAGAAGAATACAAAAGAGACCGCCGTGCGTATCAAGTAGTACTTGTATACAAATATATAAGTATTTGTATACATTTGTTGGTTTGTGTGTAGCCCTAAGGAGGAAATATCTACAATAAGGGTTAGGGTTAAGGGCGGCAAGAAAAAGGAAAGAAAAAGGCGGTGAAGTAACAAGAGAGAAAGAGAAAAAGGGTTGCCAAGTTTCTCTCTTTCTCTCTCTCTGTTTGTGTGTAGGGGGGGGAGGCTTTTCTTTGAAGGCAGAGGAAAACCGCGTTTGGTCGTTTGGTTTCGTCCGTTTGTCGTGTCTGTGAAGCCGCAGAACACGAGGGATAATAGAAGTCATTTTTTTTTTTTTTTTTTGTACATCATTTCTTTATTGAAAGAGCAGCAGCGGCGGCGAGAAGAAATAATAAAAAAGAAACCACAACAAGAGAGAGAGAGAGAGGAATTATAAATAAAAGAAAAATAAAAACAAAACAAAAAAAATAAATAAATAAATCAATAGAAAAACAACAGCAAGAGGAAGAAGAAGAAAAAGAGGGCGTGTGAGAGGTCTGCGTTGGCATCACACACAGCAAACAAAAAAAAAAGAAAAAAAAAGAAAAGTAAAAAAAGAAAGAAAACAAAAACAAGGAGAAAAGAGAGAGTGAGTGAAGCACACGAGGGGAGAGGCGAGAAAACAACACATTTGCAATCAGATCCGTAGAGTAAATACACATACCCGCGCGGATAAATAAAAATATAATCACTCGCACGATTGCAGTTGCGGTGGTTATCGTACGTGCGTCGGGGTCTTTTTTGGGGGTTTTCTACCCTTTTTTTTTTTTCGTGTGTGTTTGTGTTTGTGTACGTCCTTGCGCGTGCGGCACACACCACCACACACTCAACGGTGTCTGTGTGTATTTTCTTTGGACTTCCCCCATCTTTGTGCGGGGGGCCGCGGGTTTGTAGAAGAAGGGAGGAAAACAGGAGAGATAGAGAAAGAGACTGAGTGCGTGTATTTTGCCCGCAGAGTAGAAAAGAAAAGGAGGTGGCAAGCAGCAGCAGCAGCAGCAGCAAAGGGGGGGAGAGGAGAGTAAACGTGAGCTCCGCAAAGACACCGCTACCACAATCTTTGTAGGAATAGTAGGAGCCAACTTGTTTTTTTCCTTTTCACTCTCCTTTCCTTGTGAAAACAAACAAAAAATAAATAAATACCGACACATCGTCAGCAGAACACCAGAAGCGGCGCAGTTTTTTCTTTTCTTTTCCTTTTTTTTTCTGGTGTGTGTTTTTTGTATTTTAAAAAAAGTTTTTTTTTTTTTTTTTTTTGACGCCTGAGTTCCGAGAGGCTTGGAGCATTTGTGTGGATTTTTGTGGGGGATTTCAGACTTTTTTTTTGGTGTTTGAACATATCAGCAACTGCGGAGCGCCCGGCACGTCTTTCCGCGCGAGAGGGAAAGGGGATACGCATACACCCAAAGAATTGAGAGGCGATTGGCTTTCAAACACGCATCCTCCTTTGCTTATTTTGCAGGCGAACATTGACGGCACCACGAAGAACAGGCGAGAGAGAGAGAGAGAGGACACAAGGCGCATTTCTGCAACACCAGCCGTCGATATCTCGTTAGAGGGACTGTGAAAATCTCGCCTACAAGGGAAAGTTGGCAGTTGGTGGCTTCTTTATTTGCAATATAATTTTCTTTTTTATCTGCTGTTGTTTTTCGTATTGATTATTGATTTTTCGTGCGATGAAAGAAGCCGGAGGTTTTTTTACCGTCAGCTGCACGGATCGCGGGGGTGTTGGGTCATCGCAGGCCTCATCGTCCGTTGGCAAAGCAGACAACAGTCCCACGTCCGGTCAATTCTCCACGCCAACTGACAGCAGTAAGGGTTCGGAAAAGCAAATGCATCCCGGCTCCGTGCTGCCAGCGGCGGGGACGAGTGGTGGTGTGTTTATTGCGGAAAAGAACACGGGGTTCTCTGTTGTGGCAGGTAACGTTCCACCGAGTAATTGGCAGACGGGGAGCAACGCCCACTGGCCACAATCCAGTGGGAAATCAACGTTGTTCAAATCCACACTGAATCCGGACGCTAAGGAATTCCAGTTGCCGTCTGGTCAAGGGAATGATGCATTGGCTTTGACACATGCGTCCATGTTTAATCCATCGCTGACGCACGGTGTTAAATCCTCGACGTTTATGCCGCTTTTTGCAATGCCATCAACAACAACGCCATGGAAAACGGGCAGCGCTGTCAGCTCAGAAGCGATCTTTGTTTCCGGAATTCGGGCGGATGCAATGAAGTGGCCACAGGTGTCCGTGCATACAAGGCCTTTTGCATCACGAGACGCTGCCGGCCCACCGCCATCTTTACTGACGCCACGCACGATTACACGACAAGTCATGGAAGAGTACGCTGAGGTTTGCCGCAGCAAAGGGTACCACATTGTGACTGTCTTCAACCTGGAACCACGCACCACACAAGAGGAGTTACTGGCCATCTTTTTTCCAATGTGCGCCCAGAGTGCAGAGTTGCTACCAATACATTGTTCACCGCGGAGCAATCGTCGTTCTGGAGTGGTGTTTTTTCTTTCCAAGGCCATTGCACTGATGGCCGTGGAAAAGTTGGATGGTTTTGTTCCAAATAAACAGCACCAGCCACTCACAGTGCTGTATTCCGGTCCGGACACATCGGAAACCGGAACACGAGAATCATCGATTCTTTCTGCGAACTCACCCCAATCTGTGAAATCCGCCCACCAGCAGGCTCAACTTTTGCCGCAACCGGCGCCAGAGACAGTGACATCCGGTTCACCACAAATGTGGCGTCATCCCACCGCTGTGCAAATGGATCAATTACACAAAGAAATGTGGCAGTTTGTGAAGAGCACGGCGTCTTCTTCCTCTTCAGGGGTAATGAAGCATGTTGTGGCTGTCCATGGTCTGACTCCAGAGAATGCGCAGAGTGTATTACTGTGGAATTTTATCAATAAAGGTGCGGAGCGGTATGAGTTATGGCCGATGAATGCCTCTGGCCTTTCCTCCGCTACTATGCCATTCAAAGGTATCAGTGCTTTGGTTTGGTTTTCACAAGAGGCAGCAGCGAAGGAAGTGGTGGCGTGGTTTGAACAACAACGTCGAGAGGGAGGTCAAGCACTGCAGATTGATGCCGTATACCTCAATAAACTGGATTTTGCCCATGAGAACTCTTCGGTTGGCAATGCTCAGTTACGCAATGGCGTCCATGATGCCAACAATAACGGTCAGCTGACTGCTGTGGCTTCACCTTCTCATATGGCGATCATTGAAAATATTGATGCATTCTTTTTTCGTGAGTATGACGACCCCAAGCTGTACCTTGTTGCCGTTCACAATCTCTCACCAAACACGGACAAGAAGGCGCTGTTTAGCCTTTTTTCCCCTCATGGGGCTCTTGATGCGGAAGTGTATCCCGGCATTGTTGAGTTTGCGGGTGAGCTTCGTCGTAGTGGTGTGGCGTTCTTTGACAATGAATTTATGGCCCGTAAGGCCGCGGAAAAGCTGAACAGCTTTGTTCCTTTTAAGCAGCCGAATCCGCTTGTAGCGCGCTACCTGAAAAAAGTTTGGAACTCACGCATGATGACGCCCTTGGACTGTGCCTCGTCGTCCTTTGGAATGGCTGAGAGTGTGGCCGTTGCAGCTTCCGGCATAAAATTAAACGATATGGTTGTGTCTGTGAAGAAGATGTTGTACGCCCCTGTCTTGGATGGGGAGAGGCTGATGGAGAAGATGCTGCTGGTGATTACTCATCCAGATACCACAAGGGAGGTGGTTGAGCAACTCGCCTCTGTCATTGTCGAGGCGCTGACTGCAATGTCGCACCATGCCGGAGCACTCTCTACACCATTGGTGAATGCACTGATGTCACTGCATGAGAAGTTAAATATTCCCCAAAATGTTGTGAAGGATTCGAATGTGAATGAAGCCGTTAAGAATTCCGAGCTCAAGAAGTACATGGCTTACATGCAATTGATAGCACACACCGTGATCAATCTGTTTATGGATAAAACGAAGCCACATGAATCCCGTAAGGTTGCTGCCGTTTTAAGCGCGTATCTGTTTCAGTTTTCTTACCTTGTAAAGACACCATACGAACTCTCTGTGTTATTGATGAAGAAGCACGAGGCTGCTCTGAATCGTGCTCGAGAATATATGATGAAGCGGCATGCAAACATTAAACCAATGGCATTCTTGGGAGACGGAGAGGAGGAGGAGCACAGGCCATGGCTGACACTGATGGAATGCCTCGAGCAGTTGACGTCCCTTTGGCGCCAAAATAACAAGTCACGTGCGAAAAAAGACCCCTTTCGCAAGGAATATGAGCAGCGGGTGAATGAGTTTTCTCAGGGGGAAATCTCACTTAAAGGAGGCGGTAGTTCACTGAACACAAGCACCCGTCCCACCCCCAGACGTGTGGTGGCGAAGGTAACCCCCGGGACCGGAAGTGGCGGGGGCGGAGGCAGCAGCTCTTCTCCTGGTTTAACTCATGGATCCTCGAACTCCTCAAGAATTGACCCTCGCACGCTTGGAGAAAACAACATCATGTCCCATGAAATCTCACGGGAGAGCAACGCGTCTCCTGTGGTGGTGTTACCCGTCTTTTGCGCGAATGACCCTAACCCTTCTGGTGCGATGCGGACGGATGAAAATGTTTCAATGATTGCATCGAAGCTATCCCAGTATCAATCACAGCCGCAACAAACACTGCCACCACAGATATCGCGACGTGATATGCCTGTACGGAGTGGGCTATCGGAGGGATTATGCATGAGTGAAGCCACAAAACCAACATTAGGCGGTTCCCGCATAAGTGGTGGACCTGTGCAATCTGTTTACACCCATGCAGAACTTATGGAACGGACTGTGTACATCACAAAACTGCCCTCTTTCCTTAGACGTGCACAGTTTCGTCGAATTTTGCTTCATTTTGGGGAATTTAACAAGGTGCGTTTATGCCGTGATGACAATCAGATTCAAGCGAAAAACGAGGCTTTCATTTCCGCATCGACGTCTGCTGTTTCTGCTGCCTCTTCCAGTGTTCAAGGTGCTGAGCCCTCCGTGATACTTTACTTTAGTTTTGTGGAGTTTGCCGAGCAAAGCAGCGCCAAGGCAATGATTGAATACTTTCGCAATATCGTTACGAATCCGCAACCTTTCAGTTTTCTCCTTGATAATTCGGTGGTGTGGCCTGAGTCGAGTTACTTCACTCCACAGAACATTCAGGCGCTTTTGAGTGTCCGAACGAGCCCCGCACGGAATCCTATTCACGACCAACTTCCCATGGATGCCGTTCTGGTTCCTACAGCAAACACCCCTCGTCATGTACTGCGAAATCGGCCGTGTGTCTTTGGAATTGATGGAGGTGAGAAGACGCTTGACGCCACTGCGGATGCAAACTCCTCTTCGTCATTTTCTGCGGGTGTCTTAGCAAACCCGAGTGCTGTTTGTGGCAGCAGCGGCGTGGGCGCAAGTGGCCGGAAGGTGGCGTCTGTCGTGGCCACCGCATCGGAATCGCTGCCGTTGCGTCCGTCGTCGACTTCTGCATTACAGACGGAGCGATTTCACGGCGATGCGGCGGGGGAGGGATTGGACCTTAACGCCATCGTGAGCGCCGTGGCTCCAGCTGTGATGACGAACACGTGGGTCTCGGAGACTGTGGAGCTTCCGGGTCACAACGACCACGTCTTTAATCCGATCCAGGGGTCGTGGCTGACGGATGTGACCGCGTCGACGCTCGGGGGCGATCCGTTGGCGGGCGTTACGTTCAGTGAGGAAAATGCACATCCCACTACAGCCCCCGCTCCCGATGCCTGCACTGCCGAGGCGGACGGCAAGGACATGTGGCCACCATGCGTACCGTCGTGTTTTCACCAGTTCTTTGATAGCGAGAGCGATGCCGACGATGACGACGATGGAAAAAACAACTGAAAACGAGGCGGAGGTCAAAAAAGGGGGGAAAGAAAACAAAAATAAAAAGGTTGCGCGAGCACCTGCGCAACTCTCAGGATTTGTACAACAACAAGAATAACAAAAGAAAAAACAAACACACAAAAACGGTGCCATGTATACATGCACACACATATTTATATAAATATATAAATGCATATATATATATATATTGTTGTAAATCATAACAAATGACTGTGAGGAAGGAAGAAGAAAAGGAGGGTTTTTTTTTTGTACTTTTTGATTGACTTTTTGTTACTGTTTTTTTTTTTTTTTGGGGGGGGGGGGTAGTCGGGGGCTTTATTTTGCTTGCATAAACACTCTTTTTTCTTTGTATATCTACCTACATCTACCTACCTATATATATATTTGTATCTACGTACATGTGTTTATTTATATGAGCGAATGGCTTGATTGTCAAATATTAAATCCATGGCAATTGTTTTACCATCATAAAACTTTTTTGCTTTTTTTTTTTTTTTGTTGTTTTGTTTTGCGTAGTGCTGTTGCTTATAGATGCATCTTTCAGGTTAACATCACTGGGCGTATTACTTTTGCTTTTTTTTTCTTTTTATTATTTATTTGTGTTGTATTTATCTTTTCCCCGGCTGTTTGTTGTCTCTGGAAAACGTTTGTTTACAAATTTACATGATGGCCTTGCCTCCACCCCCCTCCCCACCACCACCACCACCACCTTCTTTAATACTCCCTGTTAGATAGATCAAAAGGAGGTGGACGAAAGAAGAAAAAAAAAAAAAAAGAGAGAGTGAAAGAACACCCCTAACCCCCCCTGCCATGCCCCCATTTGTATGTATCCATTTCCGTGAAGCATGAAAGATATTAAAAGAAGAAGAAGAAGAAATTTTTTTTTTTGCTTATTTATTTATTTATTTGTAGGGGGAAAAAATAAATATTATGAATGATAAAAAATACGAAGAGGAGTTGTCGTGGTGGTGATTTGTTTGTCCTGTTATTCGTGCGAACAAGAGGGAACGAGAGAGAGAGTGTGTGTGTGT